CGCGATGCCGGTAAAATCAGCGACATATAAGCTTTCGCAGGAGTCACTAGTTATGATACGAAAACCTTTTCCGCAAAAACGTCAAATTTTGATAGTTTTGCCCCCTGGAGGCTAAACCGTTGACCTTAGGTCAAATATGAGAACATTATTCAGAAAGGACTTTGAAAGAGCTATCGAATGCGCTTTTCCGCAGCGCTGTAGCTCTATTGGTTCCCGACGTATGCGCCGGTTTGTGAAAAGTTGTCAAAATCGGGTACAAATAAAATCGTAAACATTTTATCTTTGGTGACTTCCAGTGACCTCAGCGATGACCTGATCAAAAAATGGCCTAGATAATTCTGAAAGATCTTGTAGCTAGCTATCTATTACTTTTTACTGCGTTTTTCTAGCTTGCTTACTTTCCGAGATAATCTGGTGTGGCCAAAATGAGCCAATGGGAGACCATGGTTACCATGGTTAAGTTGGCTGAGAGACCCACCCGGGCGCGGGTTAAAATAAAACATGGTGTTGGTCATCGTTCATATTTCTTGGCGCATCGGCAGATTTTTATTTACGCAATGCTAACAAATTCCGAAATTTAGTCAAATATTAGTCAAAATGAAGAAAAATGGCGTTAGTCATTCATTAGTCAGTCAAGCTTTTTAAGACGAAAGATTAGTCAGTCAAAAGTCAGTCAACCAAAATTGTAATTAGTCATTAGTCAGTCATTAGTCAAGATTTCAGAAAACGTTAGTCATTTCCACCTCTAGTCCCGACGTCGAAATATGAGGGAATCTACGCGGGACCAGCAGGATGTAAAAAGATCTCGATCAGGACCAACGTAAGGCTGTGCAGGTCGCAGGAGTCTGCATAAGCCCTCTGATTTTTAGAAGCCCACCCATGTATGTTTTCACGTAGAGGCCAGTTTAGGGCCCTCAGAAACCAGTACAGGGCCTGCAAACTGCAAAGGCCAGTAGTTTGAGACCATCAGAGACCGAGTTGGGCTCTCAGAAGCTAATGTGGGTCCTTACTCATTACAGGCCAACGTGGGGCCCTCAGAGGTCAGTGTGGGGCTCTAAAAGACCGGCATGAGCCGTCGTTGGACCCCAGAGGCCAGCAGAGGGCCCTCAAAGGCCAAGATGGGCCCTCCTCAGAGGCCAGTGCAGGCCCTTAGAGGCCGGCATCGGGCCTTTAGCAGCCAGTGCGGGGCCCTCATTGGCACCTAAAGGTTCGTCTTGGGACACCAGAGACAGAAATAAGGCCACCAGAGACCGGTGTGAGACGCTCAGACGCCGGTTGGGGCCCCTGAGGCCGGTTAGGGGCCCTCATAGGTCAGATGTGGGGCTTCAGAGGTCGATGTGGGCTCTTAGCGGCCAACGTGGGCGCTTGACCGCCACTGAAGTTCCCTCAGAGGTCAGTGTAGCACGCTCAAAGACCGGTGTGGGAGCTATATTAATAGCTGGGAGTGGGTTTTTGAGCCTCGTGACGATCGAATAAGGGCCAGGGCCCCATACACCTATGGGGGCCCATCGGTTGTTTGAGGGGGACAAATGATATGATGGCCCCCTTTATTGGCCTTTGGGGGATATGGCCCTGATGCTCCCCCCGCGACCGCCACTGTGTACACATTACACACGGGCCTCTGAGATTGCATACTAGCTCATGCAAACTCTGAGGTGCACAGTACCAACCCATGAGGTCTTACTTTAGTGTCGTAGAGCCACGCTCATTTGGCAGGGCCCACCCGCCACTGCCGAAAAGGGTCTCATGACAGCCATTGCTGGGCCTACGAGAGCCTCAAGTAAACCCACGCTGATATTCCATATAAGATCCGGCCATACTCGTGAACCGGTGCCAGCGACGCTGAACGCCAAATTGACAGAATGCGAAACTGAGCCCATTCATGAGTGAAATTTACGTCCTTTGATGGCGCAAGAAAGAAAATGAAACATACAAAAGGCTTTCTAAGACTTTCGTTCGATCTGAAAGGTGGGGCCAAGCGATAGTAGGTATGGCCCCACCTTTCAGCACCAAAGGGTGGATTTTTTTTTTACCAAAGGTCATGGCCCCCGTGCCCCCCCCCCCTGGGACCGCCTATGTGCTGGTGCAGAATTTAAGCATAGGGACGATGTTTTTTGTGCCAAATTTTGTGTAGGTAGGTACATGTAGGGAATTTATAGAAATTTATTGTGACAAAGTTTCCAAAAAATCGGTCCAATTTTTTAAGATATCGAGGTTTTAGTGACGTCATGATTTGAGTTTTCGACAAAAACGACACATGTTTAAAAAAAATCATGGGTATAAAATCACAGAATAGACATACACACTCAGAAAACACTTTGAGAACATTTTTGAATAAGGGCTCATATGAGTGCCAAAACAGGGCTCAAATCTGTATGATTTTAAAATCGGGATCAGTTAGGCGCCCTTTTCGGGCTCAAAGTACATTAGCCCCGAAAGCGGCATCAGTTCGTCTTCCTTTTCGGGCTCAATTCGAGCTGCGTTTTAGGGCTCCATACGACATTCCGCCATTCCGTCTTTTGCTGTTTTCAGTGCCATGTGTTGGTGTACCTACCGCCGTGATTTCAAAATGAATGGTAAGTTATTAGTTATCAGTTATCGCTATCTTTTAGAAAAAATCAAGATGTTGATGCTCATGCCATTTTAATCCCTTGTCAATTAAAATTGTGGTGGCATTTGTTCAGAAAAGGTCTGATCTACAATTGTGGCGCCGTTGATACGAATACGCACGGGTTTGATTATTCGTTTTTCTTGTATTTGCGCCACATGAAAGCATCATATCTGGATTCAGGATGTCAAATAGTGTAAGAATGTGCAAAAATTTTGTCTGGTTCTTCGTGATGATGTGATTGAAGCAATGCTTTCAAGGGTAGGTAAGGATTTTGTTACTTGTTCGTAATGGTTATCTTGATGCTCAACTAAAATTAATCCTAACCTTGCCTACTAACCTATTAAGTTAAACTTAGTACCAATACCTACCAACCTACAACCTATTTGGATCTTTCATATACTTATAACATGCTGCTGCTTCTGCTAACATGCTGCGGAATGCTGGTTGACATGATGGAATGCTGGTATGACAGTGTTCCATGTTTCAGAATTTTAGGTGAATAACCACACATGATGGGGAAAATGTTTTCATCCTAAAAATATGACAAGTGGCTTTATTTCATCTTTGCTAAAAAATATGTCAAAAGTTTGTTTCAACAGCCAGCTGCCAGGTTACGCATGACTTGACAGTTGATGCATCTACTCTACATCATTTCATTTCAGATCCTGTGAAGGTTCTGACAAAATCTGAGGTAAAAATGGCATTATGCAGTTTTGCGGAAAGACTAAATCTATCTCATTTTGTCTTCAGATTTTTTTTTATTGGGACACCCAATTGAAATCCAATTTTAGAACACTGTGACACCATGCCTGTGTGCCAAGTAAGAGGAAGGGTCTACAAGTATACATCAAGATAACCAATTATGGACAAGTTGAGACTTGAGTCATGAGCTCTTATTTGTGGTTACAATACCTTCAACTGCATGATTTTGCACAACTTCCATACAGGCATCCAGACTGGAAAAGGTTCAAGTCCATACTTATTCTGGTGCTTGAATATGGCAGTTCAAAGATGGAAGGCATATGATGCTACAAAATGAAAAAAATAATTCAACTTACAAAAAATAGGTATTCATATCTATCCTAAACTAAACTAACCTAAACTTACCTAACCTAATCCAACCCAACCCAACCACCCCAACCAGCCCAGCCCAGCCCAACCCAGCCCAGCCCAGCCCAGCCCAGCCCAGCCTAGCCCAGCCCAGCCCAACCCAACCCAAAACCTACAGTCTAAAACCTAGAGCTAAAACCTGCAGCCCAAACTGGAAAACATCCATATGGTACGCCGGACGCCCGTGAAGCCGTCATGCGCCGAAGTTCGGCGCAAGCTATTTTGCAATTTGCGCTGAAATTTCTGCATTATTTGCGCCGAAGGTTAGTGCCCTTTTGCGTCAAAATTAAGCCACTTATACAAAAAGCACGTTTACATCTGCTGGCCAAGGTTTTATAAACCAGACAGAACGCTCTGGGCCTTAACCACCCCTGACTCCCATGTTTGAGCGTCCAAATTAGTTGATGTTTCCATGGAAGCTGAATACCACAATACGTGTAGCGCACTGTAGCATCGTGCCGTGAAATAAGGCTCGGGACGGAAGTTCCGGGGTCACAAAAATTGGTGTGGCGGTGTTGTCGCGGCTGGCGGGCTCCAGCAAGGGGTTTAAGTTTACGACACCACTCTTGTTTCAGGAGAGGTGTCAGCGATTCGAGACTACTTGGGCATGCGGGCAGCGGGGTCGGCGTGGCTGCCTGCGGCTGCGGCCACACATCTTGGCGTCCTGGAGGCGGAGATGCTGATGGTGGCATGAGTCATCACTGGCTGCCCGATTTCCATGCTCCAAGACTCGCCGTGAGGGCCGAGGCGGGCGTCGTGCCGATGGAGAGATGAGGAGGGATGCGCTGGCATCGCGCCTACTGGCGAAGGCGCTCTCCCTCCCGTCGGAGGACCCGCCGCGTCGTGGCGGAAGCCCCCCCCCCCCCCAACCGTGACTGAAGTCAGTGACCGGCTGGAGAGAGCGCGGGGGAGCGGTGTGGGACCACTGGAGTGGCGCTGCCCGCCGAGGCGCGCTTATCCACGAGACTGCCCCCGTAGACGCCAACAGACGGCGTCACGGTCCACCTGGACCTGCTGCCGATCGGGGCGTCCGCGACAGCGAGGAGGAGTGCTGCGGAGGCGTGACTGGGAGCGCTCCCCCAGCGTGCGACGTGGGCCTGGGTCGACGGGTCTGCGACCGGGGGAGTAATAGGAAGGCGGCGCTGGGGTCCTCACCGAGCACCCATAGCAGGTCCGCTGTCCGAAACGAGACCGGCCCGTGAAGAAGGAACTGGTATCCCTGAGGGACAACGGCTGCACATGCCTCGACACTAAGGAAGAGGCGTGCGCCCCCTTCAGCATGAAGGAGATGGAAGCCCAGATCCGGGTGCTGAAGTCCAGGAAAGCGCCCGGCCCGGACCAGGTGTGCACCGAGCACCTGCGGCATCTCGGCCCCACAGCCAAGGCCGTACTGCTGCGCCTGATAAACCAGACCTGGGCAGACGCCACCATACCAAGCGCGTGGCGGAGGGCCACCATCATCCCGATTCTGAAGACCGGCAAGAACCCACAGTCCGTGACGTCATACCGCCCGATAGCCCTCACCAGCCACGTGGCAAAACTGGCAGAACGGATGGTCGGCGCTCGACTCAGCCAGATCGCCGAAGCGAGGAACCTGATTCCTGCCGAACAGGTGGGCTTCCGGCGCGGAAGATCGGTGGAGGAGAACCTCGGCCGCCTTGTGCAGACCGTACAGGACGGCTGGAACCGACCCCGCCCCGCCGGTCGCCCTACCGAGGGGAAGACGGCGGAGAAGTTCGCGCTGGTAGCGTACGACTTCAGTAGAGCCTATGACAAGATCGACCACCGCATGCTACAACTTAAACTGCTTCGTCTCCAGCTCCCACTATGCATGGTAAACTGGATCTTCCAGTTCCTCCGTGACCGACGCGCCAGGGTGGAAGTGAACGGCTGCCTCAGCGAGGAGCGCCCCTTCAGAGCGGGCCTCCCTCAGGGTTCGGTCCTGGCACCGACCCTGTACACCCTGTGGTCGGCCGACCTGGTGAGCGACCTGAGGAGCGTCCCGGGTACCAGCGTATTCATGTACGCCGACGATACCGCCACACTGAGCGGTAGCTGCCGGATGGAGACGGCAAGAGAACGAGCCCAGATCGCAGCTGACACGATGGTCAGGTGGGCCAACAGGTGGAAGATGGTGATCGCCGGGGAGAAGACCCAGGCCCTGGTCCTCTCCCAGTGGTCCCATGACGCCAAGGACTTCCAGATCAAGGTGGCCGGAACATCGGTCAAAGGATCCCCGCACCTGAGACTCCTAGGAGTCACCTTCGACAGACTCCTCCACTTCGGGGAACACTGCAAGAACCTGCGCCGGAAAGTGAAGCCCAGGACGGCTCAGCTGAGGAAGCTGACCGGTCGCAGCTGGGGCCTCCAGGAGGCGCAACTACGGACCGTTGCCAACGGGTACGTTCGGGGCGCCCTGGAGTACGCGGCAGCAGCGTGGCTCCCGGCGGTGTCTGAAGCTCACGTCGAGCTGATCGAGCGGGAGCTGCGAGCGGCGGCCCGTGCGGTCACTGGCTGCACGGCCTCGACCCCGACCGCGCCGCTGATGGCTGAGGCCGGCATCCCGCCGGCGCGAGTACGATGCCCGGCGCTGGCCGCCCGCATGGTGGGCCTGGCCGCCTCGCTGCCCGGCGACGACCCGCTCCACGCCGTCGGGGACATGCACGTCGCGCCCCGCCTGAGGACGACCACCGGATGGCGTGACGTCGGCCACCGCGCCCTGGCTTGGACAGGCGCGGCCGACGTCAAAGTGGAAGGACGCCCTACAAAGACTATCCCACCGTGGGACCACCATGGAGAAGCCGTGACGTTCTGCCTGGACGTCGGCCCCGGCGGCCAGAGAGCGGCCCCTGCGCACATACGGAGGGGAGCGGCAGAGGCCACATTGGAACATCTGCCGCCCCGCGCCACCTGGATATGGTCGGACGGCTCGGCGGAGGGAGGCGTCTCCCAAGGCGGGGGCGGTGCCACCATCACCTTCCCGTCGGGAGAGACTCGGGAGGTCCGAGTCTCAGCGGGCCAGCTCTGCTCCAGTACGCGGGCAGAGCTGTGTGCCCTGAAGGCGGCCCTGAACGCCATCCGAGACGCCGACGCCGACATCGCAGACGACCCAATAGTCATCTGCACCGACTCCCAGGCCGCCCTGAGGATGCTGGAGAGCGGCGCCCCCTCCCAGACGACTCACCTAGGGATCTCCATCTGGGAGGACCTACTCGCTCTCTCCAGCCGAGGGTCACCGATCCGCCTCCAGTGGGTCCCGGCGCACTGCGGCCTGCGGGAAAATGAGAGGGCCGATGAGCTGGCCAAGGAGGCCTCCGGCCTACCCCAGGAGGCAGCAGCAACAGACGTGAGGACGCTAACGAAGGCCGTCGCACGCTGCGCCTCCCACCGCTGGCGGCAGGAATGGCCGTCCAGCTTCTTCAAGGACATCATGCGGGACCGTATGCCGGCTCCGCTCAACAACCTCGACCGGGATGCCGCCGTCAACGTCCACCAGCTGCGGGCCGGGCACTGGGGTCGCTCGGAGCAGTATCTGCACCGTATCGGGCGGCGCCCCATCCCGACCTGCCAGCAGTGCAACCTCAAGGCGTGCCCCGCAGCCCGCTGCATCGTGTGCAGAGAGGGTGCCGACACTCCGGAGCATGTGTTGCTCAGGTGCCCGTGCCTGGCCGGCGCCCGCCTGCGACTGACGGGCAACATCCACATCCGACCAGAGCAGCTGAAGGACGGCGAGCTGGTGGCGGCCTTGGCCGCCGGCTACCTCCGCCACAAGGAGCCCCTCACGGGGTTACAGGCCGGCCCCAGCCGGCCCTGAGGGGAACACCACCAACAACAACAACAACAACAACAGCACCCAGACAGTACAACATTGGTACTGCGGGAGGCGGCGGGGAGGATTTGCTCCATTTACCGATCTGAGATGGTGGCGCCCAAAACGGCAAAGCAACATCTCCTGAAGCACCCGTCCTTCGAGGAAGACCCCATAATCATTTGCTCCGACTCGCAGGCGTCGCTGGCGACGCCACGAGGTGGACAAGTGGCCCAGACACCCCCCCCCCCCTCATCCCCTAGGTGCCGCCATCTGGGAGTATATGATGGCCCTAGTGGCTGTAGGGGGCCGAAGAATCCACCATAGAAGGAGGGCGGCGATAGCCCGATTAAGCTGGGCGTCCAGTGGAGCCTCGGCTCTATCATGGGCATTGGGCAAGGACTCTGCGAGCACCCCCGTCTCCTCCATCTTCGACGGCACTCCAGTCAGAAAGCTGTCCCCACCCGAGTTTCCCAGCAGCATGGGCCACATGAAACCGAACAGCGCCGAGCCGCTCGACGCTGAGGACCAGGCAAGAGTAACAGTGAAAAGGTGAAACGCTCGAAACGGCGCGCGCCGCCGGCCGAGGGCGCCGAGCCGGCCCAGGCCGGCTGCGGGTCAAACAGAAGCCGTCTCCGCGGCGGCCGCCCAGTGACAGCGACTCGGACTGACGTCGAGGCACCGCTGCCGCCTCCGCCGACCAACCCGCCGCCCAGCAAGGGCAGTTTGAAGGCGGCTGCGCCGGTGAAGGTGGCGCGGCCTGGCAGGGGCCGCGGCCGGCCCACTCCCAGCTACCCGTCCCGCGAGGTGCTCAGTACCACCGACTCGTCCGATTCTGAGGCAGCGCCGTCGGCGGGCCGCCGCCAGCAGTGACGACGACCGGCTGGCGGCGTTCGCGCGGGACTTGTCCGACTCCTGGTACTCGGACTTGCCGCCCAAACTGGACGCCGGCGGCGTGAGCACCAGCAACGCCAATAAAAAGTCCACCTTCATCCGGCTCTTCTCGCACCGTGTCAAAAGGACTACGCCGCGCGGCCGGCCGGCCAACTCGAATGAGCGCAGCGAAGGGCACACGTCCCCGACGGCGGCACTGGCGCCTCCCGCCGCGCCGCTGCCGGCGTTGCTGGCAACGCCGATCCAGGCCCATCGATTTCTACTGTTTTGTTGCCTACGTGCCGCTGCCGCCGCTCAGCCAGCACAATGGCGTGCCGGTGTTGCGCTGTCGGATCGAAAAGCGGCTCGTGCAGCGGACGGACGGGTGCGGCCCGCGCGATGAGCCGCCGCCGCACACCGAGCTGCGCCGCGCGGACGTGAAGGTGGAGCTGGCAGCGGCCTGCTCAGTCCCCTCAACGGCGTCGACCGGCTCTCCGGTGATTTGCGGTCAGAAACGCCGCCGCTTCTGGGACCAAGGTGTCAGAGCGCGGCGCTGCCCGTGAGACGTTAAGTTAGCACAGGCAATGTCGTCTGCACTCCTTGCAGTTCATGTTGAATACACAACCATGTTGCGAAGTAATAGGCGCCGGGTTTTTCAGTTCATAGAACTTTTTCCCTGGCTATTACACCCCACAACCGAACACTGACACCTTGCACAAGTATGACTGTGTGTATGAATGTTAATAAATACATGAACCAATGTTGTGTTTTCGGTTCCAGTACCTTCTTTGGGCACCTCGGCAACAAGTAAGTAATCCGTTAGCTTTGCCACACCTAAGATAGGCTCCCACGTTGTTATTTGCTCCCGGGTTAACATAAACCGGTTTAACGTAACTTTTGCATCCCGGTCAAAATTGCCGGTTAACTGTCCCACCGCTCGAGACTGGCGCTAGGCTGGCCGAGCAAAAAAAAAAAGTTTGTCCGCGGCTTCGTCTTATTCGCAGCTGCTGGACACGGGGGAGGGGGGAGGAGGGGCTGCATCGGACGAAAAGCGGGCTCTGGTATTAACTGGATTTTTTGCCAGCTGGCGCCGTATGGTGGCGCTAGCAGAGCTTCTTACATATCAATGCTAGATATAAAAGAATGAATATTTACCAATCAATTTTTCATTTAAAGCCATTTGAAATATTTATGTCCATCCTACTACCGCGCTTAGGTATATCTAAAATTAAATACCTTTCGTGCGTCGCCAGCTGGCCAGCCAGCTGACGCAATCCAGCTTTTACCAAAGCCCCGAAAAGCGATGACGTGAGCCCTAATATTGGCTTCACCACACAATTTGAGCCCTCAAACTGGAATCAGGTGAGCTCGAAAATGGGGATCAGGCTGAAAACTGGTATCATAGTGAGACTAGTTTTAGAGCTTGACACCGATAATGGGTACTGACTGAGCTCTGTTTCTGCGATCAATGATACCGATTTAAGGGATCGTATGAGCCCATGTGGCGCTAGCTCAGAAAGTATTCTCGAAATGTGCTGTCTGTTTTGAATATGGTACATTAGCCCGAAAACTGGTCTCTGAGCCCGAAAATCGGGACACTGTTTTCTCAGTGCAGACATGCCGTAAACGTCATTGGACTGCCAATACCTACCATGAACAATCAAATTGCCATCTTCGATTTTTGATTACCTATCGTTCTACGGTTTCCAAAATCTTGAATGGAATCTTGGCAATTTCTTGTATACTACTTCACGACCATGATGAATGCATTTCATAACCCGCACCCCGCTGCAGGGGTCCTGGAATTACACGCCCTGCTGGTGGGCGGGGGTGTTTGAACACCCCCCTTTTAGCTCGGCTCCTGGGCCATGTAGCGATACGGGGAAAGCGACGTTCGAAAAAGCGTAAGGAATAATGGCGAAATTTATACTTAGGTCACTTTTTCGGTCAGGTCAAAGGCCAGGTCACCAGAGGTGTTTTGGACCCATGCTACTGAAAGCCCAATTTCATGTGTATGATCTGACCTTGACCCGACCTGTGACCTTGAAATTCAACTTTCAGGTGCTCATCGTAAGTGTCTCGTCGCGTTCTTTCGTTTGCCTTCTCGTCCGGTTTGCTGCGTCTATTGGTTCTTGAGTCGGAACTCGGATAGCAGCTCTATTGGTTCCCGAGTTGTGCGCCGCTTTTTGAAGAAAATATGTTGACATAATCGGACCACCCGTTCTCGAGATCTGGAAGCGCCCCCTGCACGTGCGCACGTGCACTGCACGTCGTGCAGTAGCACCTTAACCGCAACACATGGGAACGCATAGCCTGGTGGCTGCCTACCTGCATGCCAAGTTTCAGCGAAATCGCCCCAGTAATTACCGAGTTATTGAAATGGGAACAAATTTGGCACCTCTTCTTTTTGTATTTCGCACGTGCAGTGGGGGTCACTCACATAGATCAAGAGTTTCCGACCTTTGGTAGAAGGGATGCAGCTACCCTACAAAAATTACCGCAAGACAATCGCTCAAGCGGCTGCTGAGATACGAGCCTCTCAAAATCACTACTTTTGCAAAACAGCTTGAACACCCTTGACTTTTCACGTGGCACGTGCCACGACGGTCACTGAGATGTATCAAAAGTAGTCAATTACGGGGTAGAAGGGATGGGGCTACCCAGCAAAACAAGACCGCAGGCCAATCGGTCTAGCGGTTGCTGAGATATAAGCCTCTCAAAAGCGTTACAGGCCGGGCCGGGCCGGGCCGGGCCGCTCATACTGATATTTTTCCGTTATATTGAAAAGACTCGCTTCGCTCGCTGCGCTCGCTCGCTCGTAACTAGGTACTAAGTAAATGTTCAAACGGATGCCAGGAACATGTAAAACTCGAAAAAGTGAATCAAGGTCCTCAAAGATCAATGACCCTGACCTGACCTTTACGTGACCTTGGCACCCACCGTAATGCATGCAGCATGGGACGAACATTATTTGACATGTTTGAACGTTTACAACACACAAAAAGACTGGAAACGCGCGGATAATGTGATCTGACATACGCTGAATCGCGATTTCGGTCAAACATGGTCTCGATAAAAAGGCCAGGGGTCAAAGGTCATTTGGGTTAAGTTCATGAAAGAAAAAGAGTATGTGTAAAATTGATCAACTCTGGGGTACTGAAAGTTTCGTCGCGATCGTCCGCTTTTTGAGCGAGATTATTCGCGAAAAACCGAGGGGGCGGGACGCGGGTCCATCCAACTACCCCTACACATGGGGCGTTCCACGACAAATCGACAAATAAAAAATTAAATTTGCACCCTCATATTTTATTTTTCGTTGAAAACTGGTGTAAGGGGTTGTGATGGGCGGGGAAGCCAGCTGTGGCAAGGATTTTTTTCTTCGAACAACGGTTTCCGAGATATAGCCTCGGGCAATTCCTGGAGGTCACGCTGCAACCCTATGTTTGGCGGCGTATAACTCAGAAACTATTGGTTTTCTATGATAAAAACTTTATATGATTCAACTCACAATCAACCAACAAACATTTTAGGTATCTCGGATTTTCAATTTTTGAAAACTTTGATCACGTGACCTTTTGAATTATTTTTCGAAGAGTGACCTTGATATTTTCCCCACTGAAAGTTGCAATTTTGTCTGATATTGACGATTAAGGCCTTATCAATTGTCATTCATCTGCGGTAATAAAAAAGTGGTTATCGCCCTGCGTTGACCTCAGGTCATGTCATTTCTATGACCTGTCCATTATTACGAGCGGGAGCATCAGCGAGATCTCGAGAACAAAGCAAGATAGCGACAAGCGGTAAACGGTACAGGGTACACACGGATAAGGTCTATTATTTTTACGCAGGTCATTTTCAGGTCAGGTCAAAGATGACGTCACAGGAGCAAAAATGAAGTCAAAATAGCGGCACTCCATATAAATATGAAGTTTTTCTCGAATAACTTTCAAGGTATCCCAGCTAGGAACAAACTAATAGCACCATTGTGATCCTCTCGTCAATCCGCATCGAAACATATGTATGTTGACCTCGAAAGGTCGAAAGGTCAGAAGTTGACCTTAGGTCACGTGACCTAAGGTCAACTTTTGACCTTTCGACCTTTCGAGGTCAACATACATATGTTTCGATGACCC